CATGCAAACTGCAAAGTGTTTCACTGTTTTTATGGTTGATTTATAGTGCTTTCCAGTTCAAGGGGTTTTATTTTTTTCAAGGGCCAAATTTAAATATGGCTAAAGTATTATAGTTCTGTTTTAAGTACATGAGATTCATAACGTCGAATAAGTACGAATACAATGTAATTTAATTTGTTTTAGTTCCACAATATACAAAACGAATCCTGTTTAATAGATTATTTACAATACTGTATTTTTATTGTGGAAGTAGAACAAATTAAATTACATTGTATACGCACTTGTTCGACGTTATGAATCTCCATGTACTTAAAACAGAACTATAATACTTTAGCCATATTTAAATTTGGCCCTTGAAAGAAATAAAACCCCTTGAACTGGAAAGCACTATAAATCAACCTTCAAAAACTCATTAATAATTCAGGCAGAAAACACAAAGAAAAATCATAAGCGTGTCGTGGTTTTATATGTGATAAAAAAATCACGTTAATTTACATAAACTTTAGCTTTGATTTTCTCGGTTTAGCCATTGAAGCCATTTAAAGCACTTGTAGTCGTGTTTTATCACATATAAAACACTCCGCTACGCGTCGTGTTTTATATGTGATAAAACACGACTACGCGTGCTTTAAATAGTACATAAAAACAGTGAAACACTTTGCAGTTTGCATGATTATTGTTAAAGAAAAGTTTAAAACCCACGTGACAGAAAAAGCGCCAAATCGATGGTAACCCGGATGTAGCCTTTACATTGCCCGATCACATGAGACATTGCCCGAAAACATGAGACATTGCCCGAAAACATGCGAACCGAAAACATGCGGTCCGAAAACATGTGAACCGAAAACATATGGCCCGATGTCGATGACATGAGACATTGCCCGAAAACATGTGAACCGAAAACATACGGCCCGATGTCGATGACATGAGACATTGCCCGAAAACATGTGAACCGAAAACATATGGCCCGATGTCGATGGCATGAGACATTGCCCGAAAACATGTGAACCGAAAACATACGGCCGGCCGATGTCGATGACATGAGACATTGCCCGAAAACATGTGAACCGAAAACATACGGCCCGATGTCGATGACATGAGACATTGCCCGAAAACATGTGAACCGAAAACATACGGCCCGAAAACATGAGACATTGCCCGAAAACATCTGTCTTCACCAATTTATATTTTTGTCCCATTCCACCCCTCATACTTATCATTTAATATTTTTGAAATATCTATAAAATACTGACCATCATTCATAAACGTGCTGATATAAAGAGTAGTCACTTATAATGTTCAGCACCTATTATTATTATTATTATTATTATTATTATTATTATTATTATTATTATTATTAAGTCTTTATTGTCTAGAGTCACAACAGACGTGCAACTTTACAAATGTCAAATTCCTATTTATTACAGTTAAAAAATTGATCTATCCTAATTAATTATATGAAAGTTAACAATAGTTAAAAAGACATCTATTTATGAAGGATCGTTTAAATCGTTCCGTTTTAATTTGAGGTAAAATAAAGTTATGTTCCCTTTGTCTTAAAATCCTTTGTTTACACACAGGAAGCAATTCATGTAGGGCATGTTCTGGATTCGATACGATTTTGCTAAATATTTTTCTGTCTCTCTCCTCGATCACTTCAGATATCTTAATACTCTTTTTCGTATATCCATAACGATAAGCCCGCCGGAAAAAAACTTGTCTATACGATCCAAATATTTCTTTTGGAGTGCAGAGCCCCACACTTCAATGCAATAGTAAAAGAGTGACATGATAAGCGAATCGAATAATTTGCTTAGCTGATCTGCAGAGTAACCATAGCATCTACACACTCCCAATATGTACATACGCCCACTAGCCTTCGACAGAAGATCATCGATATGAAGATCCCAGCAACATGGATTTTCCTGAAATGTGACACCTAATAATTTCAACCAGCTCTTTCGTTCAATGCCTACAATCGGTGCCGGTAACGGTTTCATAGACCCACCGTGCACAACCATTTCCCACGTTTTAGAAAGATTTAATGTCATTTGATTTGCTTCCGACCAATTCTGAATGCTTTCCACCTCAGCCTCAGCAGAATCCGATCCTGATTTTACTATAGAGCGTTTGCACTCATTCCCCAGGGACCAACTCAACAAAATCCATGGCGGCCATGTTAGTGTTCCAGACAAAAGAGTGTAATTAAAATTCTTTTGAATTGGAACACCAACATGGCGGCTGTGACGTCTGTGCCATACGGATTTAACTCTCAAATTTTTAAAAGTTACTTTCTCCGCATATTTCTGATTTAATCAGCAGTGAGCGTTTGTGTTGACACGAAGCCGACACGAAGCCGCCAAGCGCTTCGTTTTTATCTCGCTCCGTTTGGAAAGGCTGGGCACGAAGCTCTAGGAAGATGTTCTGTGATTGGTTGATTATAACAATGATAAAAGAATAAGCTACAGAATGGATTTTCTGAAGAACGAAGCAAGAACAATATTCCTTTTGTTTATGTAAGCCAATTACGTCTTTTGTCATTGTCATAGTCAACCAATCACAGAACATCAGGGATAAAGATCATAACTAAGGGATATAGATCATAACTAAGGGATATAGATCATAACTAAGGGATATAGATCATAACTAAGGGATATAGATCATAACTAAAATAACTAAGGGATATAGATCATAACTAAGGGATATAGACCATAACTAAGGGATATAGAAACGTTTTTGACATTTTGAGCAAAGGATCGTGTAACGTTGTAGTATTTCCTTCTTGAATATTTTCAACGAATTTTGTTAGTCTAAAGGTCTGTTTACAGTTGCAGTTTTTATCTAATGGGCCGCTGGTCCATTACGGAAAAATAATGGACCGCTGAAAGTGCTTCAGTCAGCCAATCACAGTCCACCATTTCACCGGAATTGATGCTTGCCATATAGTAATAAAAGTTGCTTTTTCCCTCTGTTCTGATTTAATCGGTGAACGTTCTTATTTCCTGATGTAGGTTGGAGCAAACGTTCTTCAGAAGTTGGTCAATGCTGCATTGAGTATCATTGATATTCAATATGTCAGATTTGAAATTGAGATGAATGCCGTTACCAGGATATTCGATTTTGTAAGTAATGCAACTGACCTTATTTATACTGGACAGCTCTGTGTGGCTCTGTCAGTTCGAAACTGTTCTCGTTAAACTAACTAACTTTATTTATTTATTTTATTTATTTATGCGGAATAGCTCTATCAGTTCTAAACTGTTCTTCCCAGAGGTCAAGTAAGGATCATCTCTTATTGATCCAGTGTTACTACAGGAGGAAACCTAAACTAAACTAACTTTATTTATACGGAATAGCTCTATCAGTTCTAAACTGTTCTTCCTAGAGGTCAAGTAAGGATCATCTCTCATTGATCCAGTGTTACTACAGGAGGAAACCTAAACTAACTTGATTTATACTGGATAGCTCTATCAGTTCTAAACTGTTCTTCCTAGAGGTCCAGTAAGGATCATTTCTTATTGATCCAGTGTTACTACAGGAGGAAACCTAAACTAAACTAACTTTATTTATACTGGATAGCTTTATCAGTTCTAAACTGTTCTCCCTAGAGGTCCAGTAAAGGTCATCTCTTATTGATCCAGTGTTACTACAGTATGAAACCTAAACTAAACTAACTTTATTTATACTGGATAGCTCTACCAGTTCTAAACTGTTCTTCCTAGAGGTCCAGTAAGAATCATCTCTTATTGACCCAGTGTTACGACAGGAGGAAGCATAAACTAAGCTAACTTTATTTATACTGGATAGCTCTATCAGTTCTAAACTGTTCTTCCTAGAGGTCCAGTAAGGATCATCTCTTATTGATCCAGTGTTACTACAGGAGGAAACATAAACTCGGCTAACTTTATACTGGGATATAGCTCAGTCTGTTCTAAATTGTTGGAGTTCCATGCAGTAAAAGTTTGTATATGCTTTAATTTGGCGAGGTTTATCAAAAAAACAATAATTTGTCATTGTTTTTAGAATGCAAAAATTGTAATTATGGGATGGACCTTTACTCCAGAATTCCGCATCGACTTCAGCAGCTTAAAGAAAGCCAGCAGCGGTATCAACTCCGCTGGCCAGTCAATCTCTGATAAAACCATGGCCAAGGTCAAGAAGTAAAGCAAGTATCAGGATTTTCGTGCGACTATTTTTTCACCGGTTGAGAAGTCGCATGGGGAGTGATGTGTGCATGGTATTTCTTTATTTAACTTATATTTCTTTCATTAAAAGAGTTTACTGTTTTATTTATTATTAAATCAAGGGTATATTAAGTATTTATTTTAAGAATAATAAATATATTCATTTTAAAATACGAGACAGTTATTTTCGTAAAATAATGGACCTATTACATAATGAACAAAATTTTGATGCAGACAAACATTTTATCACGGCTTGAAAGAGCATCACAAAATTAGTAATACCCAGAAGTTTCGTTGTGAAATGTGGTAAAATGCGGATAATATAGCCCTGCGAAGTTTGCCGTTTTTCAGTCATTTTGTATTACGCGCGGGAAATTGATAGCTATCAATTTCAAAAGTGGTATCAATTTCAGAAAGTGGTATCAATTTACTATATGAGTAAATTCTTAAACACGTTTTATTTATCATTATGATATATTCGCAGCACCTAACCACTAACCCCTAAGTCCTAACCTTTTGAAAATCTTGAAATTTTGAAAATCAAACCATGGCCAAGGGAAGGAAGGAAGGAAGGAAGTCTGTGAGAAATTATTGGTCGTTAATGCCTCCAAAACATGTGGTCCTGATAATATTCCAGGTCGCCTTTTGAAGGAATTTGCGCACCTTTTCGCTGAACCAGTTGCGAAAATCTTCAATATGTCACTTGCATCCGGGATTGTTCCAAATATATGGAAAGACTCACATATTACTCCCATTCCAAAAGTTAAACAACCAACTGACGAGGGTGACACAAGACCCATTTCACTAACGCCATGCCTTTCTAAAGTTCTCGAAGATTTTGTCGTTAGATGGATGATCTCTGACGTTAGGAATAATATTGACGCACAACAGTTCGGTTCTTTAAAGGGTTCATCCACGACCTATTGCTTGCTCGACATGTTGCATTGTTGGCTTTCTCATTTAGATTCAACTGGTCATTTTCTTCGCATATGCTTTTTGGATTTTTCAAAGGCCTTCGATCGTATTGGCCATAACATTCTTATCCAAAAACTTGTTGATATTGGCGTTAGGCGATCGTTAATACCATGGATCGTAAACTTTCTATCAGGGCGAAGACAGCGGGTAAAACTTGCGGAAGCTGTTTCTTGTTGGCTTCCTGTTACAGCCGGTGTCCCCCAAGGTACGAAGTTGGGTCCGATCCTGTTCTTAATTATGGTCAATGATTTACAATGCGGTTCGGGGAGGTCTGGCAATTGGAAATTCGTTGATGATGTTACTATCTCTGAGGGATTATTAAGGAATGGGGAACCATCTGTAATCCAGTCCGATTTAACTTCTATAGCTACATGGGCATCTAATAACCTGATGAAATTGAACGCAAAGAAATGCAAAGAGATGCAAATTTGTTTCTTTCGGAACAAACCTGAACTACCACACTTGTGTGTTGAAGACCAGATCTTTGAATGTGTATCGTCGCACAAGGTTCTTGGATTGATTATCCAGGATGACCTTAAGTGGAACGAACATATTTCGATGATTGTTACCAAAGCATCCAAGCGACTGCATATCCTACGTGTCCTACGACGGGGAGGGATTCCACCGCACGACCTTATCACAATTTATTATGCATTGATTAGATCTACATTAGAATATTGTTGTACAGTATGGCATTGTGGTCTACCTATGTATCTGTCCGAACAAGTCGAAAAAATTCAAAAACGTGCACTGAGGATTATACTGCCAGGTCGATCCTACGGTGAAGCGCAAGAAATGTTGCAGTGTCCTAGGCTGGATATACGTCGAGGTGAACTTTGCGAAAAGACGATGAAAAATATTGCATTGGGTAGTCGTCTTTCTTCCCGTCTAACTCTCACCAGCGAGAACGAACATGTGTATAATTTAAGGAATTTTAAACAATTCGCTTCTTTTAAATGTAGAACTGATAGATTTGGTAATAGTTTTTTCCCTAGCATGATTAGTGTTTTAAACAAATAATTGTTCTAATGATATATT